GGCCAATGATCTGAACAGACCCGTTACAAGATTTTGATGCAGATTTCTCGACTACTGTGTCCACATAATTAAGCAATAGAAGAAGTAAGGGATTTTAAAGTGTTTTAGTTCCCTGTAAACATATTTTATTTTTTCCTTTTAGTTTTTTTTCTTAAGTTTCCTCATTACCCATTCTCACCAGGAATTCTTTAAAGAAAGAAAAACTCAAAAAAATATATGAAAGAATTAGTTAAAAATAAGGAAACATCCCTGGCTGATTTGCTCAGTGGTTAGAGCGTCGGCCCGTGGACTGGAGAGTCCCAGGTTCAGTTCCCGCTAAGCATATGTGCCTCTGTTGCAGTTTGTCCACAGCCCCGGTTGGGGTCGTGTGGGTGGCAACCATTCGATGTGTCTCTCTCACATCAATGTTTCTCTGTCTTTCTTCCTCCCTCTCTCCCTCCCACTCTATCTGAAGATAAATGCAAAAATGTCCTCGGGTGAGGATAAAAAATAAAAATTTTTAAAAAATAAGGGAACAGAAATGAAAGAGGAAAGCATTGGTTGGAAGGGAAGGTAGGCAAAAAGTCATGTATCAAATTACAGAATGATGTAGTTAGAAGGAATGGAGTCCATGTACTTATGGGGTGAGAGTTATTCCAGAGGCTTCCTTTCACACAAGCTGTCTCCCCAACTTCCAAACATAAATAAGCATGTTCCTTTTATCAAAACAAACAAAAACAGAAATCATCCTTGCTAAATAGTGCCGAGTAGACCAGGGTCTAGGCAGAATAAAGCAACAAGAAAATTTAGGTTAGAACTTAAGACTTAAAGACTGGAAATGGAACTTCAGATATGGGTAGCTAATCTGTCTAGGATAAAAACTTGCAGGCTCACTTCATTAGTCCCAAAGGAAGGATTTAAGAAGACAAGGAAGGTAAAAATGAGCCTCTATGTCTCAGGGCTTTCCCAGAAAACTACTGATGGATTATGGTTACAGTTGATTAGAGAGAATGATCTGGTTTAGCATCATTGTCAGGCAGAACTGTTTAGGAGCAATAAGAGCCCTACCTACTAATCAATCACAGGCTCAACTGTGAGGTATAGAAATTAGCGTGCCCTGGAAACTAAATTTAATTTCTGGGTTGAGTATTGTTATGCTTTTATGGGAATGAATTCAACAAAAATGTATTAAGAGTCCACTGTGTAATAGGCACTACAGTAGGTACTGGAGATCTAAAGATCAGTCTTAAACTTAAAGGAGCTCAATCCAGTGTCAGAGAATGAGATTTAAACAATTATTAATACAGTAAGTACAATAATAGTTTGTACAGGGGAACATTAAGCCACAATGGAAGAGTTGTGTGGTCAGGCTAGACAGGCAACTAAGTAGGCAAAAAGAAGGGCTTTCTACATAAAAAAGGTATTACTCAATAGTAGAATATTGCTGGAGCAGAAGATAACTGGAAATGTAAGCAATATTGGGTTATTGAAGTTAAGGACCTTAAACTTTATCCTATAGGCAATGAGAAGCCATCACAGGGTTTTCTTTTAGCACTTTTTAAATATAATTTTATTGTTTTCTGGCCTCCATTGTTCTGAAAAGCCAGCTGTAATTCTTCATTGTTTTCCTGAATGTCATATGTCTTTTTTTCTGGCTTCATTTAAGACTTTGTTTTTTAATCTTTGTTTATCAGCAGTTACACTAACATTATGTTACTAGGTGTGGTTCTTTGTATTTATCCTGCTTGGGTTCATTTATTCCTGTTTCTGTGGATTGCTGGTAGTGGTGGTGGTGGTTTTTCTTTTTGTCAAATTTGGAAAACTTTTGGTCAATATTGCTTTAAATATTTTTTTCTGCCCCATTCTGTCTCTTCTGAGGCTATAGTTATGCTAAATTTCTTAGTCCTTAGTATATGTCATTCCAGGCTCTGTTCATTTTTCTTCTTCTTTTTTTTTTTATCCTCACCCAAGGACACTTTTCAGTATTTTGTTCAGGTAGAGTGGGTGGGAGAGAGAGAGAGAGAAACATTGATGCGAAAGGGACACGCAGAGTGGTTGCCACCCACATGACCCAAACAGGGCCGGGGACAAACTGCAACCCAGGCACGTGCCCTTAGCAGGAACTGAACCCAGGTCTCTCCGGACCGCAGGCCGACGCTCTAATTGCTGAGCAAAACTGGCCAGGGCTGTTAATTTTTTTTTTCTAAGTCTTTTTATTTCCATGCTTCAATTTGGATCATTTCTTGGAATTCTTTTTTTTTTAATCCTCACCCGAGGATATTTTTCCATTTTTTGTACAGATAGAGTGGGAGGGAGGGAGAGGAAGGGAGAGACAGACAGAAACATCGACGTGAAGGGACACATCGAGTGGCTGCCACCCGCACGACCAACCAGGGCCGGGGACAAACTGCAACCGAAGTACGTGCCCTTAGCGGGAACCGAACCCGGGTCTCTCCGGACCGCAGGCCGACGCTCTAACCGCTGAGCCAAACTGGCCAGGGCCATTTCTTGGAATTCTTGAAAATTTATAATTTCTAGTAATTCTTGGAAAATCTGAATGTTAACATTTCCCAAAATCAGACACCCTAATGACTATGGGTTCCTTTGAGCAAGGTTTGGATACACATTAGAGAATAAAATAGAAATCACAAACTATTACAACAGAGAGAATTTAGCATTGGATGTCGATATGAGGCAGAATAGTAAAAAGCTAAGAAAATTCCTTGGTTAGTGCAATGAGGAAACTGAGACAGATAGCTGAACAAACTGGCTGAGCAATTTACAGCCTGATAATAAATCACAAGGTCTTATCTTACACATTCCAGACTGTGCTGGGGCAGACCCAGAACTGCCTTGGTCCTGGTCCCCTTCAGGTGACATCCTTTGAAGGTGAAACTGACCAGAAAATGACCAATATGCTCATTTTAATGCATCAGCATATCAAAGGACACACCTGGAAAGCTGATGAATAATCTATTGAGATCCTCCTGAGACCTCCCCTAAAATTCAGGCCTTTAGAAAATAGATAAAACCCTTACAACAAAGGACCCAGTGCACCACTCTCTCTCTAGAGCACACTCTTGCCTTCTTTCTTCAGGCACGTATCTTTGCTTTCTTTCTCCTAAGCTGTTCAGGGTCCCCATGAGACTTGCAACCAGGAGAGCAGCCGGCAGCAGCAGCCTGTCCCAGACTAACCCTCTAAGCCTGTCTCCAAGGGTCCTTCTTTGCCTTTGTAACTTGTTTCCTGAGTCCATGCAGCCCAGCTGGCTCACTTCTTCTGCCTCCATGACTTTCTTTCTAAAAGGCCAAGGCAGCCCACTCGAATCTTTTCTTCGCGGGTACTTTCACTTTGCGTGCTAAATAACTTTCTCTTGTGCTAGAGTTCTTGGCTCTGAATCCTTTCTTTGCCAAACACAAGAACCAAGAGTCAACATCGCCGGTAACTGATGGACTGAAAAAGCAAAACGGGAACACTGAAGTAGCCCAGAGGTGATAACTGTAGAGAACAGCTACCTTCACTAAATCTAGTTGTAAAGAGGAATTGAGGTTGGACTGTCAGGTCTCAGAATTTCAGAGGAATGATTCAGCTGATCTGTAGCTCCAGTCCCTGAGAGGATGCTATCCAGCTGGTCCTGCTGCTACTGAGAGGGATGTGATGAGGCTGGTTGGGGGTAGAGATGTGCCAAAAGAAGCTCAAGGCTGAAATCAGTTGTTGAGCAAGGGCCTGTTGCTTATTGCTGAGGTAACAATGACAGAAACTGCAAACAGGAAGGAGGAAGTCCTTTCACCCCTTCTCCTTACTTCTAGTCTCCCTCTGATGGCCTCTATTGGTGGAACCTAGTGAGACATCAGCTAGCATAGGAAAAATGTGGTTTGCAGAGTCTGAGCCATAGCATAACAGAAGAATGTATAGAAAGGTGAATTTGGAGTAAGATAATTCAATAACAATAACAGTAGCTTAATAAACAGTACCATATCAACATTGGTTTGTGCTAAGTTAGTAAAAATTTCTCAAATTAGACCCACATTAATGCCAACTTATATGCTTTTACAGACTTTTAGGCCCTTTTAAAAAGAATCTGAGGACATCATGTCATATCAGTTTCCTGTTATATTGTGCTTATTGCTAGTGTCTTTCAGAGCTAAGGAGTACCTTTACTGAAGCTCATACGTGTACTGGCTACAAAATCTAAACAAGGACAATTTTGGAAGAGATCTTATAACTGAGGATAATCAGACTCTGCCCCCACATTAGGCTTCCCACCATCAGGCAAAAAAAATGGCATAGACTAAGTAGATCTGGCAAGAATCCAGTGTTCTCCCTACCTCCATTTCCTATGCATTGTCTAATGTGGCCATAGCAAGAGGAAGACCAACTTCCTGTTCTAAGCACCATTATAATTGAAAAACCAGCTTCTTGCCCTGGACAGTTTTGCTCAGCGGTTAGAGCGTCGGCCTGCGATCCAGAGAGACCTGGGTTTGGTTCCCGCTAAGGGCATGTACCTCGGTTGTAGTTTGTCCCCAGCCCTGGTTGGGTGGTGTGGGTGTCAACCACTCGATGTGACCTTTCACATTGATGTTTCTCTGTCTCTCTTCCTCTCTCTTCCTCCCACTCTATCTGAACAAAAAAATGGGAAAATGTCCTCAGCTGAGGATTAAAAAAAGAAAAACCAGCTTCTTTCTTTTGTTCCCTTTTCTTGCTTAACTCAAGCTCCCTTACCCAATGCAATCACTTCTAGTTTTCTAATGCAAGTAGATGACAAAACAGGTCTTGGCGTTCAGCATTTCACCTTACAGTGTACTTTTCACAAATGCAGATTATTGAGTTTTGAAGGATTTTTGTTGAACATTTATAAAACATTTAACATGAACATTTTTCTAATCTTTGAACTATAGGACTACAGAAGTTTCATCTGAAAGGGGTCATTTCTTCACGTCTATGTTGTTTAGTAGTGAAAGTTAACATTCTCCTTCTACCACAATTATTTTTTGTTAATAACAGTAAAGACAAGTGTTCATTATATTTCACATATATAATATTTGTTTTTTAATATATTAGACTAGAATATATTTTTCTGTATCTGCATATATAATTATATAGCACTCAGTTATACAACACAAAAGACACTGGTGAATATTAAAATGGCAGTGTACCTATTTATAACTGATGGTTAACAAGATATTCATTTAATGGGAGAGTCTAATATTTCCTGATAATCCTGCCTTCTTAAATTCCTCCAGTAAAGTTTATAGCCTGCAAGGACAAAAACACTAATCATAATGATTACTCCTCCAAAGACATCATAGACACTAGGAAATATGTGTAATACTAGAAGCTGCAAAACCATCGCTACCACAATCTCCAGATGTTGTACTGTGCTGACCAAAGCTGGATGGAATTTGTTCAAGGCATAATAAACTCCTAAGTATGCTACAGTAGAACAGACACATATAGCAATGAGATAACTCCAGGTTTCTACATCTAATGGGATAATGGGTTCTTGAAGAATGAACATAGTAGATAATCCCCAGACTGTCCCGGTCCAACCAAAGGTAAACAGTGCAGTCCACATGCTAATCTTCTCCTTAATAGATCTATATACTATCATGGAAAGAGCAGTGGTCAGCCCAGCCATCACAGTCATAGTGTATCCAAAGGCTTCTTTCCAAGCATTTAACAAGGAATTTTCTTCATTAACTATGTTGGGGATCATGACAAGACAAACACCTAAGATGCTGCAAATAACTGTAGCCATATCAATATAAGCCATTTTCTCATCTACAAGTAAAAAAGCCAAAATGGCACTGAAGACTGTGGTGGTGGCTCTCCACATAGTGGTCCCATTGCTGGGAGGAACTATAGAAAATGATGTATAAGCACAGGTGATAGAAATGACATTGCATACACCATAAAAGAAGAGACGTAATCTATATCCACTGGGTCCAAAGGGGGCCTCCTGGTAGTAACAAACAACTAACACAGACAAGACCTGTAAGACAGAACGGATAAAAATCAGTTCTAGAGATGGAACTTTAGAACGATCAGAAACGAGCCTAGTGATAAGAGCTACACATCCATGAGCCAAAGCAGATCCAAACAGCACTATCCACATTTTTCTGGATTGAAAAATGTTTTTTTCTGCAAAGCTCTGGAATTGTCCAATCTCATTGGTCATGGGGTCTTTTGTTGGTGGAGGTCGGGTATCCATGGTTCCAAAAAAAGTTCTTCCTTTTCTTTTCATTTCACTCAGCAGGCCTTTCTTTGAATTTTCCTCCATAAAATTTCCATAATCTTCATTAATTTCTTCATATCCATCATCCCCAGGCTGAGGATAATGAGAAGTGTATTTTACCATCACTGTGTTGGGATGTATTTTCACCCGTTTTTTAACTGGACATGTTTTGGAAGGAGACGTATCCATTTCTTCAGATAATTCTGTTTAAAAAAAAAATAGACAAATGTACATATTCATTCAGTTGAAATTTAGTTTTAATTTCTATTATAATCATATATGCCAATTCAATAACTGGAGTTTTTTTTTAAAAAAAAAAAAAAAAAGAAAGAAAGAAAACAGGAAGAGCTAATCTGGCAATATGCCTTATCAGATGTATGAGACCCAAGGAAATGATCTACCCTTTTTCATTCTCATCTGTAGTCTGCCTGTTTCTCATTCTGCTTATTCTTTGACTCATTCACCTCTATTTCATATCTTTACATCACGAACAACTGATATTTTTTCATCTTTTCATTCCTACCCGTATCTCCAACCATCCAATAAGAAAAACATAACCTAGATCAAAACTTGACTTCTTGTTCTGTTCATTTGTCTGTAATATACATTACAAGTGGGTAAGTCCAAGTCTTTTGTATAATCACTTCTGTATAATACCAGAATTAGCCTTATATTACAAATGATAGTGATTTTAAAAAATATTTATTCTCTCCCTGGCCGGTTTGGCTCAGCGGTTAGAGCATCAGCCCGCAGACAAATGATTCGTGGATTTGGTTCTGGTCAAGGGCACATACCTCGGTTGTGGTTCACCCCTGGCCCTGGTTGGGGTCGTGGGGGAGGCAGCCACTTGATGTGGCCCTTTCACATCAACGTTTCTCTCCCTCCCACCCTATCTGAACAAAAATGGAAAAATGTCCTCGAGTGAGGATAAAAAAAAAATATATATATATATATATATATATATATATATATATATATATATATATTCTGGGCTCTCCATTCATTTTCAGATATACAGATACACTAAAGTTAAAAAGTAAATAAAATGGATTTAGTGATATTCATACAGTGTTGGTGTACAACCTTCCTGATGACCAATTGGGCAATATGTTTTTTAACTGAGATTTTAATGAAACTACCCTTGAATTCAGCAATACCACTTATAAGATATTACCCTAAAGCAGCGGTTCTCAACCTATAGGTCGCTACCCCTTTGGGGGTCGAACGACCCTTTCACAGGGGTCGCCTAAGACCACTGGAAAACACATATTTCCGATGGTCTTAGGAATCGAGACACTGCTCTTCTATCCATCTCCAGGCGGGTCCACCCACATGCAGATATGCCCACATACAACATGAGGAACTGTATTAAAGGGTGGCGGCATTAGGAAGGTTGAGAACCACTGCCAAAAGAGATGATTACAAGATGCTTTTTACTTTGTGTAAAAAGGAAAAAATAAGAATATATATTTGCTTATATAGCATAAAGAAATTATGAAGAGAGCCCTGGCCAGTTTGACTCAGCGGTTAGAGCATCGGCTCATGGACCAAAGGGTCACGGGTTCAATTCCCTGTCAAAGACACATACTTGTGTTGCAGGTTCCATCCCTGGCTCAGTCCAGGGTCCTTTGGGAGGCAACCAATAGATGTCTTTCTCACATCAATGTTTCTCTTTCTCTCTCTTTCTCCCCCTCCCTTCCAACCTCCCTTCTACTCTGTCTAAAAATCAATGGAAAAATATCCTCAGGTGAGGATTAACACTCACACATAAAAGAGAGAAATTGTGAAAAGATACAAAGGAAACTAATAATCTTAGGGGTAGGACAGAGAACAAGAATGGAAGAAAGCCTGAAAGAAAGGCTTTTATATATATTTTTTTGAATCACACGTTGTTCAAAATATTACAAATTAAAACAAAATGTTCATCTCTTATTAAAGAAAAAGTGAGCTCATACAAAAAGGTGTGGAAAAATGTTTAATAGGAAAGTTTGCTGCAGCTTACTAAAATGACCCTTCATGCAGTGGAATACTATACTATGCATCCATTATAAGTAACAATACAGATTTTTACTGATGTGGAAAGATGTCCATGACACATTGTTGAGAGGGAAAAAGTTAGGATTATATGAAATAATGCATGTAAAGAATTTTCCACAGTGCTGACATACAGTAAACTCTCAACAAATGTTAACAATAGCCCTGGCCAGTTTGGTTAAAGTGTCAGTCTGCAGACCAAAGAGTGCCAGGTTTGATTCCAGCCAAGGGCACGTACCTCAATTGCGGTTTGTCCCCAGTCCCATTTGGGGTCATGCGGGTGGCAACCAATCGATGTGTCTCTCTCACATCGATGTTTCTCTCTCTCTCCCTCCCACTCTGTCTGAAGATAAATGTAAAAAATATCCTAGGGTAAGAATTAAAAATAAATAAGTAAATAAATGTTAACAATAAATTCAGCTAGCTTTCTTTCACCTATAATTAACTCTTGAAACACTAGGTGTCTTCTACTGTGTTATTCTTTCTTTGAAACCAGTGTTTGTTCACTCAGTTCTCTTTTGTTATTTATCCATCCAAGAATGATTTCCTTCCAAATGATTCCCCCCACCCTTAAAAAACAAAACAAAAAAATGAAAGAAAAAAATCTTTTTGTGTGTGTGTGTGTGTGACCTTATGACATACTTCCTATTCCTTGCCTAAAACCCATCAGTTCCAGAATCTTAAATCATAGTCCAGGTGTCAAATTCTATTTTGTTCTTTGACACCATCTAGGTAGCCAACTGCTCCATTCTTATTCATTTCTTTCTCTTCTAAAGGAAACCACCTTTCATTTGGAAGAAGTTATTTTTAAAAAATACCACCGGTGCCTCCAAGCCTTTCATTTCTCAGCCTGGACCTTCCACTTGCAGTCCTTTGTGCACATTGCTATCAAGCTAACATTATGTTCTTTTTTTCCCAACGTTTATCAGGACATTTACACTTCAAATCATGACTTCAACTTCAACAATCACAAATTGAATTAATAGTCATGGTCTCCCAAATAGATTTTCCTTCCCTAACTTCCTCATTCATGTTTGTAATACCACCATTTTTTTCAGTTCCCCAAGCTAGAAACTAAGGAATATTCTGAATTATTTTTTCTGCCACCATACTTCCATTTAGTTATCAATCTTACTGTTTTTGTCTTTTAAAATATTTTTCTTTCTCCAATTCCATTTTACCTTTGTGATTCTGTTTTGGTTATTGTTAATTCCTATCTAGAATGTTGTAATAGCATCCTAACTAGCCCCTTTGAATCTCAGTTCTTTTCCCTTAAAATCCATCTATATTATACCACTATTACATTAATCTATCTTTAAAAGATTCACAACAAAAACTTCCCTCAAGATTTCCCCATTCAAGAACCTACAGTGATTTCCTACTGACTACCTCATCAAATTTCAATTCCTCTGCCTAGCTCTCATTCAAGTTCCTGCCTAGTGTAGCCCCTATCGATACTTAGCTCCTAAATACACACATTGACCAGTACATTGTTCTCCTGGTCCTCACTCCCCACATGTACTATCATTTCTCTAAGCCTTTATTCTCGATAGTTTCCCCTGTACGCCAACTTTTTAAAGAAGGTCCAGTCCAAATCTGCCTTTCAGAAATAAGCCTTCCCTGACCACTCTAGCCATTTATTTTTTTCTTCTTTAACATCTGCAGTAGTTCTTCTAATTTTTGTAATGTAATCATTTTGTTATTTAGTTGTCTCAACTCAATGGAGTTTTGTCTCCAGTCATTGTACCCAAATTTGCCATATTAAATTTCCTTTTCTTTCTAGTCAGCAAGTATCTTAATGACATCTCAGATTACATAACTTCCCACTTGCTGTCCATTGTTAAAACTGTGACTTATATCCATTCAAAGCTTCCTTCTTCCCTACTGCATGCCAGATTTATAGCTCCAAAGCCATGAAAAGGGAGAGGATGTAGTATGTTATTTTACTTCTCCCATTCCCTCCCTTTGGAGTCTGTTAGGAAGGCAATATGGTCTGCCTCTAGATCATTTCCTTCATAACTCTCTTCTAGGTTCGAGCTCCCTTGGTGTATTGGCACAGGGAGGAAGGAAAAAGAAAGGCATACATGTTTCATGTATTGGCTGCTATTGTGTGATCGCCTTTTGATATATAAACTTGGCTAGGCTGAACTACATTCCCCAGTTATTTAATCAAACACTAATCTGGGAGCTGCTGTCAAGGTATTTTGCAGATGTGATAAAAGTCCCTAATAAGCCCGGCTGGTGTGGCTCAGTGGTTGAGCATCAACCCATGCACCAAGAGGTTGCCATTTTGATTCCAGGTCAGGGCACATGCCCAGGTTGTGGGCCAAATACCCAGTGGCAGGAGGCAGCCAGTCAATGTTCTCTCTCATCAATGTTTTTATCTCTCTCTCCCTCTCCTTTCCTCTCTCTCTAAAATCAATAAAGGAAAAAAAAAATTGTGTTAAGTCCCTAATCAGTTGACTTTAAGTTAATCAAAAGAAGACTATCCTGAGTGAGCCTGACCTAATTGGTGAACCCTTTAAGAGGGCTCAGGGCCCTGGCCCATGTGGTTCAGTTGGTTGGAGCACCCATACATCAAAAAGGTGGCGGGTTCGATTTCATATGGGAGGCAACCAATCAATGTTTCACTCTTACCCTTCTCTCTCTCTTCTCTTTTCTTCTCTCCCCCCACCCCTTTCCCTTTGTCTCACATCAATAAAAACATATCTTCCTTTCCTTACTTCCTATGGACAACAAATTTCAGCCTGTGCTCATGAGGTTCCAAATGCTCTTGATCTTCTCTTTCTGGCTATCTGCCCTACAAATGTCAGGTTTGTTTATCTAGCCCCCACAACTGCATAAACCAATTCCTTGTAATTAATTAATCTCCTACTTGTCCTGTGTCTTTGTTTCTCTGTTATCTCTGATAGATCATTGATACCTTCTAGGTTGTAGGCATCCAAATGCAAGCAATCTTGGGTAAATTCTGTAGGGCCTCCCCAGTGCTCAAATCCCAGTGTGGGAGAGCTTCCTTTCCTAACGCTTATGCCCCGCCGATTTTTGCTGCTTGGTCCTCTTACCTGGTGGGCAGCTAGCTCTCTTGAGCAAGCACCAACAGTATTCATTTGGCCTAAGGAAACATATATCCTTACCACTCCAGTGAATATACAGGCCATTCACTACTGCC